CACAGTTCTGGTGAATGCAGGGGCAAGCTTTATTGAACATTTCTGGTAGAAAAACTACAACGTTTTGGTGAGTGGGCGGACCTCTTAAACTTCACTTTCGAGAAGAACCTCAAGGGTATTGAATTCTGAGGACTGTTCCAAAAGAAAAGATTTCTGGGGATAATTCCATGAAAATTCTGCGAATCCTGCAGATAATCCCAAGATAATTTCGAAAAGAATACCGAGAGAATCAAATTTTGAATAAAATTCCAAAGGGATGTTGAGGAAAATTTCAAGGGAATTCCGAGGATAATGTCAAGCTCATTCCGGGAAGAATTTCTGGAGAATACAGAGGAAATTCTTTTGAAACTTCAGGGGAATTTCAGTTCCAAGGTATTCTGAGAAAAAAAAAAGTTCTAAAATATTCCGAGAAGAACCTCAAGGATATTGAATTCTTAGGACAGTTCTAAAATATTTCTGGGTAGAGTTGAAAGCAAATTCTGCGGAGTGCATTCTGCAGATAATTCCAACATAATTTCGAAAAGAATACCGAGAAAATCAAATTTTGAGTGAAATTCCAAAGGGATTTTAAGCAAAATTTCAATCAAATTCCGAGGATAATTTCTAGCTCATCCCGGGGAAAATTTGTGAAACTCTAAAGGAATTTCAGTTCCAAGGTGTTCTGAGAAAAAAACATGAAGAGTTCTAAGTATAATTTTAGTGGACTTCTGAAATGAATTTCAAAAGATCTCTTAGGAGAGTTCTAAAAAAAATCCGAGATAAACCTCAAGGATATTGAATTCTGAGGACAGTTCCAAAGGATTTCTGGGGAGTATTCCAAGAAAATTCTGCGAATTATTTATAGTGAATCCTGCAGATAGTTCCAAGATAATTCCGAAAAGAATACCGAGAAAATTAAATTTTGAGTGATATTCCAAAGGGATTTTGAGGAAAATTCTTAGGGAGTACCGATAATTTCTAGCTCATTCCGGGAATAATTTTTGGATAATACTGAGGAAATTCTTCTGAAACCCTAAGGGAATTTCAGTTCCAAGGTGTTCTGAGTAAAAGTCAAGAGGAGTTCTAAAAATTATTCCAGAGGACTTCTGAGAAGAATTTCAATAGAGCTCATAGAGTACTAAAAATTTCGAAAAGACCCTCAAGGAGTTCTGAGAATGGACTTTTTCGCAATTGTATAAAGTTTAAAGACAGCTTTGGGAATCCAAAAGCTGTCTTTAAACTTTATACAATTGCGAAAAAGTCCATTCTCAGAACTCCTTGAAGGTCTTTTCGAAATGTTTAGTACTCTATGAGCTCTATTGAAATTCTTCTCAGAAGTCCTCTGGGATTATTTTTAGAACTCCAGAACTTATTGAAAAGTGGGTATTAATTTTCCATTGAACCTTGGTCTATTGTTGTTTTACTAAATTAAACAGTAGGAAAACAATGGTGGGTGGACAGCACCATCTACCACGCACTTTGGAGTACTCCCCATCCCCAGATTAAATGCACAATAGAAAAAAAATTGCCCCTCCTTAACAAGATTCCTGTGCACGCTAGTGGTTGTTAGTGTCGCAATTCAAACCATCGATCTCATTACATACCATTGTGAATCCTGACCTGATTCCTCTCCGCTAACATTACTTACTCCAGTTCGATTCATATCCCCAAAATACAAGCATATACAAATAAAAGTGAAGATTGGTGATGTTTAAGGGGTCGCGTAAAATGTTTGATGCAGATTTTTGAGAATTACTATGGGAAATTTAAAAATTAAACAAATATCAATCTAACTTTGGTTCAAATGGTGTCAATATTGAATATATCATTGGTTTAGATCGAATCAACAAACCTGTTTTTTGTTGTAATGAAATTGATGAAATTCACAAATAAGTATTTAGCTCACAAGTTGAACTATTTTACAATTTTTCGCATTTATATCGCTCTATAATTGTTCACAAACAAACCATAGCAAACACAGATTTGTTTGTCATTATCATGGCAAAAAAAATCTATTTTGATAGCATTTGGACAACTAGAACCAGAAACCACGAATGACCCAAGCACGATAAAGTGATTATACAGGGTGATTCTGAATAACTGTCACTTTTTAAAATGTTCATAACGAATTTTTGATATCAGTATATTCCAGGTATCCTACATATAGGGGAAATGGCTCTAATGTTGGCCTATGGATCTGAGATTGGGCCCATTGCGAAAAATCTGCTATTTATCAATTTTATCTAGATGAACACGTCATTGGGACAGTACGATTGCTGAATTTATGTATTGACCCAAATTGGGGGAATTTAGGCCGACATTACATCCATTTCCCCTACTAGGATAATTGGAACTTTAGCCTACTCGTTTGATTGACTTGAAGCCGTCCTTTCAATTCATCTTCAACAGTGAGTAGTACCTCTTCCATAATTAGCTCAAATTTTAAAGGTTAGAGTGGACAACCCTGTTTCACTCCTCTTGTTCGCATTTGAGGAGCAGTCTTCTGACCATTCCATATCATTCCAGTTGCACCTCTACGTTGAGACAGTTTATCACGCTATTTGCTATTCCTTCGGATGCACCTTTAACCAACAGAATATCTGGAAGTGCAGAAAGTCTAATGTTGTCAAAGGCCTTCTCAACAGAGCATACTTTAATTCAAATCTCTCTCCCTGTACCTTAATTACCATTATTGAAAGCCACATTTGTCACGAAAATCAACCATAGCTGCAACGCACGCTTTATTTCCTGCACTTTTTGACTCCTGGCGATGCGTCTAAGCTCTGATATTGAACGGATTTTCTACGCATGGTTTTACCTCAATAATTATGCGAAAAATAAATATTTCATTGTTTCGAAGGGCTTTCAGTTTACTAAAGATAACACACGATTTTATACAAATTTATGGCATGCTCCATTTTCACGTGCATGGCTGCTTGAAATCTTAAACGAATGATTTTTTTTTAAATCCGACTATCAATACAAGCTGATGGTTGTGAACACTTTAAAACAAAACAAAAAATGTACTCGTTTTACCCATTGAGAATTTCATATTTGTGAAATCGATGACAATAACTGTCTGAATCAGCCTGTAAAAAACACAAATCACCTATAATAATTCGCTGTTATGAATCAGGTTGAATGGTGACTACTACGTTTGCGTATTATTCGTAGATAGATTTTTTTTTCTATTTTAAAATGTTCATGGGTTTTGGGCTCTGCAGTCTTATGTGTTTTCTCTGTCCAACGTTTCTGTCTTTGTTGAACTTTTCTCATGAATTTCAAATCAAATATTTTGTTGATATAGTAATGTTCAACGAACTTGTGTTTGTTACCATTAGTTTGGTAATAATTATAGAGAGATACAAACGCAAAAAATGGTAACATAGGCCACCCTGTGAGCTAAATATTTGTGTGTAAAATTAATCAATTTTATTATAATAAAAATAGACTAATTGACTATATTTAAAACAATCACAAATAACATTTAAACATAATTTGAACAACTTAAACCAATGTAAGAGCGAAATCGATGATGCTTTTTAAATTCCCACAGTAATTTTCAAAAATCTTCTTCATACCTTTGCGTGACCACTAAAACATCACCCACATCTTCACCCGAACAAAATATTCAACTTTTATAGCATTTGGACAACTAGAACCAAATTAAGCGCAATATTAGTGAAGTTTTAAAACCACCCATAACAATTCGCATGAACCTCCATACAAACTTTAAGGCCCTTATATTTTACCAATATTTTACATTTTTGGTAAAGGCTTAAATTTTGGGGTTCTGATGCTGGTAGATCCCCTTTCCGTGGTGTGTTACTCACATAAGACCTACCACCGAACCCTAGTCCTGACGACTTCCATCTAGGGGATCAGGATTTTTCAATAATCAAAGGAACACGTTTTAGTCTTTGTTACTTTTTATGCCTTGCTGATAGTGGCAAGACTCGGGTAGTGACCACTCCCGATATGAAAATAAATAAATAAGAATGGTTGACCTCCTTATTTCAAGTTTTTTTTATTATTATTATTTCGCCAGATTTGAATGTGTTCATTTCACCGGCCTAATTCCTTCGTTACTGATACTCTAAGGAAGCCTTAGCGTGAAATTTCAAAAGCTCAAATGTCAGCTTCTACAAACATACAATAATGAAAATGCGACTCTTTGTTGGTTGAAGCACAGCTACCAAGAAGTAGTAATTTCATATTTGTATGTTTTGTGATAGCTGACATTTGTGGTTTTGAAGTTCCACACTAAGGCTTCCTTAGAGTATCAATACATATAAAAAATACCTAGTGCTCAAAGCACCCAAAAAGTTTAAAATTCCATTGAAGAGGAAATTCCTTTTCAACTTAATTTCCACATTTCTACATCGATTTCAGCATAATTTCTCTACCAGCAACATCGCTCCTTCAATATGTAACCCTCATCATTGATGGATCAGAGGAGCAACAAAAAAATCGTTCAACCATCAAGTGCATAAGTTCAAGATCTCTGCCGTGCCAAACTCCGGGAGGCCCGTCTCTTCTTTCCTATCTCGATAACAATAAATTGCCAAAGACTTGGCTGCACGGTAACCCCCCATTACCACACAACCAACTTCGGACGGTTTGCCGCTTTGCTGCGGATTCGATTGATTTTCCTCTCCTATTATTGCTGCCTTTGCCTCAGCATTTTTTTTTTTTTTGCTTCTGTTTACCGAATCCGATCCGAATAATACACTCGGACTCACAAGTCCATACCAGAAGTATAATTACATTTTAGCATATACACATCATCGGCCAGAAAGAAGTAAGATAACTGTAAACAACTTCGCCCGTGTGTATTTCCTCTGCTCTAAGACGGCTCGCAGCGCGTCCGAGTTCGAAGAAAGGCGTTTTGCTGGTAGGTGCCCCCCCGACTTGACGCCAAATGCAAGCCACCAGCAGCAAAAGACTTGCCCGAGTGCAGAAGCGAGAAACCCTTCCGTTTCATTTATTTATTTATTTTTTTCGATTGTGTCGACACTTACCACTAAAATCAACTTCATTTTCGCCTCCTCTCGACTCGAACTTGAACTTGAACTTCTCGCTCTCGCTCTCTCAATATCTTTCTCAGCTCAGCAGCGGCTGCAGTAGGTCAACATTCACTTCAAGAGATCACTGCACTTTTGATTGGAAGAATCACAAAATTCCGTAAACGAAACTTCAAGTCCACTAAGCACTGTGATATCACTGTTGCAGCAATCTTCCACCTGCTTGCCTGATTCTTCAACTCGCAAAGTAAGCTTTCAAGCGCACTAAACCGGAATAAAAAATCTGAGAAATTCTGCACCAACTCCACTTCTTTCTCGTCGTCGACTGGACTTTCCGTCTTCTTTTTCGCTCAAAGTTGTTTAACTGAAAATGCACCTTCAGGAGCAACTCCACACGGACACGGAAAAGATGGTCTCCACAGATCGAGAGAATAGCACGAAAGAAGCGATCGGTTTGCGGGTTGATCGTCGTTCCCTGACAACTGTTGAAATCGGACTGTGCGTTCGAGTGGCCCCGCAATCTGGTTTTAACATCCGTCCAAGTACACACGCCGTACAACATATAATACACATTGTGTGGTGTGGCCCGGCCATACAGCGAGCGCGAGCCGTCCGTGCTTGCCGGTTGGGGCCGCCATCGCCGTGCAACATTGGCATCGGTGTTGCGCTACAAGCCGCGGGAATTGGCAGTGAACTGCTGGGAGGAATGAATTTTTCCGGCTTGTTCATGTGGGGGGCTAAGACAAGCGAAGAAAGAATCGTAAATGATCGTTCCTGGCAGAAAGCAAATTTTACTGATGAGTCAAACAGTGTCAGTGCCGTATTCATGGGCAATGATGTTGGCTATAGGTTATAGGGAGTCCGATTGATTGAAATTGGACAAATGAAAAACATGAAAGGGGCTGTCCATAAACTGCGTAGACAGGTGAGGGGGAGGGGCCCATACAAATTAAAAAAAAAATGTATGGATGATTGCTTACGCAGGGGGAGAGTTAATAGTTAATAGTTAATCAACAGCCCCAAAATAAGAAAACAAATTCAATGGCGGTCATATCGATTCCCCTCCCAGGACCTAATTTGTAACATCCGGACAATTTCCGGGTGCCCCCAGGGAAGTGACCAGATTCTGACGTGATCTTAAACTAATTTTGACAACAAGCGGGGCTACATGTGTACTACCCAAGTAACATTTAAAGTTTTATGAAATACTACAAAGCTACTATAAAACAACATTCATAAAACCCTGGTCAAGACTGCTTTGCCATTGATGGTTCCACCAAAACCTCATTGATGCTAGAATCTGTCTAGTTGGCCCACCTTGGAGAAGGTTCTGAAGGGTATATTTTCGAAGCTCTTCAAAGATTGATTTACTGCAAAATGGTTGCACGAGATCCATTTCAAACCCGTATTTAAGCTACAATAAAAGCAATTTGGCAACAATTATAACCATTATCCGAGCCATTTACCCTAGCTGCTTGCTAAGTTCACTAGAAAAAACAACAATCAAGATAAAAAGGATTCATTTTTTTTAACTAGTTCGTTTATTTGAAAGGCTCAATCGCGTTTGCTTTACGGAGCCGATAGTTCATTGTTCTTTGTTTGTAACAAAATTCACTTAATTCTATGTCTAGTAAGAGTTGGGCCGAATACTCGCGGCTTACTCGAGGTTAGAGAGGTACATTGTCGAAGAATAGGATCAGGAGAGGAGCGGGGGTAAGGTTTCGTTGTCTCATCAGAGCGTATGAATGGTAGTGCGGTTCTAGTTTCTTCTGCACAGCAAAAAAATAATTTTGATATCACGTCAAAGTGGATGCACTACAATCATGTCGAAAATATGGTGTAATATTACTTGCTAAAAAGGACAAAATTATCATTAATACAATGCATGAACTGACATTACGCTGCTTTTACTGCATTTGTTTATTTATGTGGTCATAAAAATTACATGAAATTTTCGACATGATTGTAGTGCATCCACTTTGATGTGATATCAAAATTATTTTTTTGCTGTGTGGAGTTCGACCGGCTATGGTGACCAGTGGGTGACGATGAGACTAATCGAGACTCATCGAGACGGGGGGACAAGACAAACAAAAACTATTAAAGAGAGACAAAAGTCAAAGGAATTAAATTCTTATACTAGACATTTGAAGAAACGCATAAACCGACTGCATATAGCAGATAAAAAAGGATTCATAAATACCATCCGATCTTATCAAAATAATTTAAATAAAAAACTGATCGTATAAAAATCCTGCCGAATTTTCAAAATTATAAAATAGTTCTCATGAAGTGCACATTTATAAAAAATCATGTAAATTTAGGTGATCTGAGAGTGACATATACGAGCGTCAATTTTGACATAAATTTGGGTCATAACAGACCTGAAGTATAGCTCAATCAAACGTACTTTTCGTCGAGAAACGAACTCAGTCTCGGAGCACTTAATATTACATGACATGTTTGTTTACGTCTCATCTTTTATGTCAAAGACGGATTCCGCCACGTGTAAAATTGGTTATTTCTAAGTGTATGGCCTAGTTTTAGGTGCCATATAAAATTTGATGTAAAATGTACGTGAAAACATCGAAAAACTTGAGTCCGTCCAAGGAAAACATTGATTTTACTAATTATTTAACATTAAGAAAAAAAAATATATTCTTCAGATCGATCATTAAGCTTAGCCTAAATTTTTATTTCTCATGATTTTTGCATTCTAAATATTTTCTCATTGCTAAATTAACTAGAATAAAGTTATATCCAAGGAAATTTAGATTGAAAATCGAAGATTGTAAAAAACAAACAAAATAATTGTAATATGGCGGAGGCATAAAAGTTGATTTTCATGGGCCATTTGTGGAAAAGTTATTTTGCTTTCAAGAAATCCTAAACAAATTCATAAGGTTTTGAAATGGCTTTTATGAAGAAAACTTGTAGACTGAATTGTATTTATCTAAAGCCATTTTGCTTGATCCTAACCCGTTCAGATTTATGGCAGCATTTATGGCGGCAGTGTTGCCTACAAAATGTTAAACGTCAAAGTTTGTTTATCTTTCGATAGTTGCGCTGTGCGATTCAGCGTTCTTCCAGGCGATTCTCTCCCGATGGCTTGGAAGCAGTTACTCAGAAAGTGTTCACAACATTTCGCATTTCGCACAGCTGTAACCTCGATCATTCCCGAAAAGATCCCCTTCTTCCGGATAGTTCTGGAAGGGCACCATCAAACGATGCAGGAATGTACGGTTGAATGATTTTTTTTCCAATTGATGACCCTTTCACCGAATAAAATCACAGCTATGGATCGGAAACCAACTAGTGTCCGCTAACTGCCAGTTTCAGTGGTTTGCTGTCCTGTCGGTACTGACGCAAGTTATTCCGATCTTCATCTAATCGCAACGTCTGGAGAAGGCTGGTCTGTTTTTAGACTGGTTTGACAATGTTTTATGAATTTGAGGACCACGCTCACTTCACTCTTCTCCACCAAATGCTCAGTCGTTGATGGTACCCGTTCTGCCGGACGTGCTGGCTATATAGAGCTAAATTTTACTGAAATCGACTTCTCTTCGGTCGTTAGCATCGCTTGAATTTTTCCTCCAACTTCGTTTATCCTTCGAGATATCCTTGTTATAAATTTGGTTCTTATTCAATATCAGGATCCATCCTTAAAGTTCAATTTGTAAGCAAAGGAGATTTTATGATACACTTTTAAAAGCCTAAAAGGCAACAATATATGCATTTTACTCTCATTTAAAACCGAATGGTTTAATGATTGCTTTTATAATGATAGAACAGGTTTATAAAGTATTTTATCAAGACATTAATAAAAAATTGCTAATGAAGTTTATGATTGATTTTTAGAACAGTTTTTTGGTGGGATTGATTTAATTTTAAAACAAGACAGTTTTTGACTTCTCGCCAGACTGTAAAAGGTTTTTAAAACGGCGAAAAGATGAACTACTAAGCAGGAACGTTTAACACTGTGAAATGCTGTATTTAAATTAAATGTAATATTCATTGCCATTATAAAACCATCATAAATCAGAGTGGATGCCAAATGATTGCAGAATTGTTACTTGCGTAGTGTGGGTCATCGTTATATGGAAAAACGCAAACTTTACCTCACCAATCGAGAACAACTCTTTTTTGGTTCCATTTGGAGTCCCAAACAACTGTACAAAATTTGGGGACGATTGGTTGTAACTCGGCTTTCCGCATTGCGTTTGAAGATTGTATTTAAATTAGTATGGGAAAAGCATTTTTATCCTCAGAGACCACAACTTTGCATGAACCATGCAGCAAAGTATGTACAAATATAGTCCAGAAAGTGCCTAACAAATTTGCCAAAAAAAATTACGATGCTAGAATCTATCTTTAAAAAGTTATAGCTGTTCAAATATTTATGGTTTGAATTAAACACCAAAAATCCCATTTTCTGCCAACACTGCCGGTCTACCAATCCAGTGGAAATATTTTCGGAGTTTCTTATCTTGCCGATTCGGTATGTTCAGATGAACTATTCAAAAACATTTGCTCAATCTCATAAGCGTAGTTAGAAAGCGGAGGGGGGGGGGTGCCTAACTATATGCAGTTTTAAAACGACAGTGTAACTATTTAATATTCACATGTCCGTTCATTTGTTAGTGAGGAGATATTGTTTGAATTATTAGCAGTAGGAAAAGTATAAATTTTTATACAAAGGTTTTATTTGAAATATTAAACTGCCACAGGTACAGTCGGATTTCACTTGTTGGGCTAACTTTAAGTGGGCTAAGTTTCAGTTGGGCTCCCAAGCCAAACGTTACTTCTAACAATGCTGATTCCTTTTCGAAATTTCGACCGGCTTCATGCAAAAACAGGCAAACGAGTGAAGTAATGATACAGATTATTTCAATGCGATACAACAAGTTGCTTCCTTGATGGTTGTCAACGATATGGCTGAATGTGGAGTGAAGCTAATTTCTGACTTATCAAGAAATCCACCCGAGACCTAGTTCAACAGCAATATTTGCTTGAGGGGATAGAACAGCATCGAAAAGAGTACCCTGAGAAATTGTAGAATATATTGAAATGAAATATAATCATTACAATCCAATGACATTTATGTGAATATATCTGACATTGTATATTTCACCAAAAGAGTAGGGAAGGGAATGGGGGTACTTGCTTTACAACTGTTCTTATGAGATTGAGCAAATGTTTTTGAATAACCCATCCGAACAACTCGAAAGATGGGAAACTCCGAAGTTATTTTAGTCTTTCTTTACTTCCATTGATATAAGTGAGGGCCGGGAAGCATACAGTAAGCCCCCCATATCTATCTATGCCTATTAAATGGAGTACATGTTTTTGAATACATCTGAACATACCAACTTGACAAGATCAGAAAAACCGAAGTTATTGCAGGTATAGTTAGCCTCCCTCATCTCTTAATATGCCTATGAGATTGAATAATTGTTTTTGAATAATTCATCTGAACATACCAAATCGATAAGATAAGAAACTCCGAAGTTATTTCAGTTTGATGATGATGATGATGGTCCCACCTCTTACCCCTACAAAGGTTTGAGCTGGACGATTTATCTTTAAGATAATTGAATATGACATTTTAACCAGGTTGGCAAACAAAATCGAACTGGTTTCAGTTACAGATATAGATTCCCTCTAAAGTTTACAGTTGCTTCACAGCGATATAAATGTGGAAAAGCTCAGGCGTCCACCTCTTAGTTCGCCGTTTTGTCCACCTAAAATATTCATAAGTATTACAAGCAATCAAGAGTTAATGAACAATCAACAAAGCGTCCTATTACACTAGTAACCCCGCAATCTGATGCTATCATAATTTTCAGCAATGTCAGGAATGCTCACGAACCCCCAACATTTGCCAGAAAACTTACTACTAACTCAAAGTATCTTCCAAATAAGCTTCAAAATTGCATTTTTTTTTTTTTTATCAAATGTTAAATTCAGTCCTCTATATCCGTAATACGCGCGCGAGGCTCAAACCTTTGTAGACTACTTTTTTTTTTAAATTAATCTACTATAAAATCATATATTAAAAATCCATCATCACCCTCGTGGCGAACAGAAATAGTTTTTGCAGTGCTACAATAATTATTAAAAAGTCGTTATGACAGCTATCCATTTAAATAATCCGTTAGAGATAACTTCGTCAAGATACATAATTTGTCAATTCATAAAAAAAAATCACTGGATAACTGTTCAAAAGACAGTTTTAACGTGTGAAATGCAGTGTCTTTTAAATTCTGTAAGTGTTGCTAAACGTTTGATATGTCTAGGCATCGAATTGAAAACATTTATTCCTTTATAATATAATGAATTTTGTGAAGCACAAGTCAAGAAATGTGGTGTTCTTATTTCAACCGCGTTTCTAGTATTATATCTATGAAAGTCACTTCCTCTTTCAATTCGATCACACAAATATCGAGGCAGCAAACCGTTAACTACTTTAAAAATGAACACCATAGTCAAATATACAATTCTTTGCTTCACCGACAACCATTGTAAGGCGTCTAACATCAAAGTTGAGGAAGTGAATCTATTACATCTCAAAATCAAACGCATTATTTTATCCTGCAAGCGCTGTAATCTCGATATTTGTGTTGCATTGGCCAGAAATAAAATGGAAGGGCAAAAGTCAAGATGAGGAGAGATGATTGATTTGTATAGCTGTATTTTACTGGCAATAGTTAAATCGTTTTTCAGTCGACATAGAATTCCATACTTCTTGGCAATTTTCTTGATGACATTGTCAATGTGAGAGTTGAACTTAAGTGTGTCATCAATAATCACGCCAAGATATTTAATCTCCCGAACGCGATCAATAGTCTCATCATCAATTACAACAGAGACGTTCTTATTTACTCAATTCCGCGAAATTACCATAAATTTAGTTTTACTTGTATTCAATTTTAACTGCTTATACTTCAACCATCTACTTAGAGAACGCAAATCTTCATTCAAGTGTAAAACGGCATCATCTAAATCCTTAGCTGCAATGAATAACACAGTATCATCTGCAAAAAGATTAATGTCGCAAAATCGTAAAACACGACGCAAGTCATTAATATACATAATAAATAAAAGGGGCCCTAATACACTTCCCTGGGGCACTCCAAGGTTATTCCCCACGGGACTGGAAACAGAATCATTAAAAACAGTCCGTTGAGTTCTGTCAGACAAATAGCTTTCAAACCATTGATATGCAGTACTCGTAATTCCAAAGCGCTTGATTGATCTTAACAATAAGGGCCTAGAAATTGTTTCAAAAGCGCGTTTAAGATCCAAAAAAACAGCAACAATCGTATCTTTACACTCCAAGTTATTTTTCCACTTCGCTAATACCAAATTCAACGCGGTTTCACAGGAATGACCTTCCCGATATCCCGATTGTTCTGGTATCAACAAACTATTACTATTTAAATACTCCAACAGCTGGCCTTTAACAACAAGTTCTAAAATTTTCTCTAATGTGTGCAACATGTTGATGGGACGAAACTCTTCGGCTTTAATCGTTCCAGCAACTTTTTGAATAGGGACCACTAAGGATTCCTTCCAAATTTGTGGCACATGTCCAGTTTGTAATGATTCATTAATAAGGTCCAGCAAGATGCGGCCAATGACATGAAAGCAATCTTGAATAACTCTAGCATTAACATTATCTACTCCAGCCGATTTTCCTAATGAAAAACAAATAACTTTAAGTTCATCTAATGTGATTGGGTGAAAAACTTCAAATCTACAACTACTATTAACTGGCTGTTTTATTTCGTCAGGTTCATCGACCAATTCAATAGATTGATTAATCAATGAAACGCTATCTACGAAATAATCATTAAACTTAGCTGCAATTACTTGTTCTGACTGTTCTAATGTGCCACTAAAAGTTATGGACCGCGGTTTGCAATTACTAGGTTTTAATAAAGATTTCAAAATTTTCCATAACTCTTTGCTGTTGTTTTGATGCTGATCAATCTTCCTTTGAACATATTCACAACGAGTTTTCTTTATCGATTGTGAATACTTATTACGCGCGATTGTGTACCTAGTCGAATGATTGTCATTATTAGATCTACAAAACTTTTTGTACAATTTGTCCCTTTTCCGTTTAAGACGCAAAAGATCCAAATTGTACCAGCTGTTCGAGTTTTTCAAAGAAACAAACTTTTGCTCAACTAGTTGATTGGTACACGTTTTCAAAGCGTTATTAAGAACAGCTGTAGATTCATCTAAGTTACCGGCCGCGAATGGAAAATCCAGGCTTCTCTCAACAAGATTCGAAACAGCTTGCTTCGAATATTTCCTCCAGCACTTCAATTTTACAAAATTATCGTTATCGTTAACATGGTCTAAGACATTAATCACTAAAGTCTCATGATCGGTTATTTTCAAATCAG